AAATAATCAAAAGGGAAGAACAACACAAGCCTTGTCAGAATAAAAAGTGAATGCTCTGCCCTGTAGGAAATGAAAATAGAAAGTGGCTCCTGTCTCTGAACTTATGTAAATCAGGCTTCTATTAATGGCCACTGGAATGGAAATGAAGCTGGGCCAGCTTTTTCTTTCCACTTTTGTCAAGTCAAGGTCATTTCCTCACAATGAAGGGGGCGAAAAATATCATCACCCTTAAGTCTGGTCCCACGTTTCCCCAGGGAGGAAGATTCTGGCCCCAAGAGCGTCTTTGGGCAGAGAGCCGTTGGCAGTTTGACCCCAGAGTCACGTTGATGAAATTGTTGGTAGCAGTCTGTAAACTGGTGCCCCAGAGAGTAGATTAAATTCTAGATAGCGCTTTACTTAACTTTTTCTTTGCACAAAAGAGTGTTTGAAAAAAAGCATGGAAAAAATCGAGGGTTCTCATGAAGTTTAGAAAGAGGCTCAGATGGGAAAAAATTTGTGATGACTGAGCAACCCTGGGCAAGGGGAGAATCCTGATTCAGCAAGCCTGCTGCTGGTGGTCTAGACATTTCCCAGCATTGACACTATTGCCATTGGGGCCGGGTAGTTTTTCAATAGGGGCTGTCCTGTGCATTGGAGAAGGCAATGGCACCCCACTCCAGTGCTCTTGCCTGGAAAATCCCATGGGCGGAGGAGCCTGGTAGGCTGCAGTCCATGGGGTTGCTAAGAGTCAGACATGACTGAGCAACTTCACTTTTATTTTTCACTTTCTTGCATTGGAGAAGGAAATGGCAACCCACTCCAGTGTTCTTGCCTAGAGAATCCCAGGGACGGGGAAGCCTGGTGGGCTGCCGTCTACGGGGTCACACAGAGTCGGACACAACTGAAGCGACTTAGCAGCAGTAGCCCTGTGTAATGTAGTGTGTTTAGCAACTTCCCTGGCCTCTCCCCAACTCGATGCCAGGAGCACCCTACCCCTCATTGGTGACAACCAAAACTGTCCTCAGACACAAAAATGTCCTTGGAGGTAGGATCACCCCAGATTGAGAACCACTAGTGGAGAAAGAAATATGCTTAACGGTAAGAAACTTTAGGATCCCTAGAAAATGTCTCTGAAGAACATCATATTCTAGTTTCTTCCAATTTTCTGCTCAGTGAGTAGTTTTCTGATCACAGCACTTCCAGAGCCAACGTTCCTGGCAGGACGAAGATGATGTATGAAGTATATGATACTTGGATATCATACACCCATCTCTACCCCCCGCCCAAGCACCCCCTCCACACACTCCTCAAAAAATCTGGGAGGCACCCCCTATGCATCATTCAGCCCTCTCTCCCAAGCCCCCACTCAGAAGGCATCTTTGTTTAATCCTGATCACTGTCAGAGAATTCACTATGGGCAAGCCCGGGCCAAAAGGAAGATCTTAGAGATGCCTGGATTTTGTGCTCAGTCCTGTCTGACTCTTGCAACCCCATGGACTGTAGTCCGCCAGGCTCCTCTGTCCATGGGGACTATTCAGGCAAGATTACTGGAGTGGGTTGCCATGCCCTCCTCCAGAGGATCTTCCCAACCCAGGGATCGAACACAGGTCTCCCGCATTGCAGGTGGATTCTTTTACTGACTGAGCCAGCAGGGAGGCCCTGCATTGGGTCTCAGTTACAGCATGTGGGATCTAGTTCCCGGACCAGGGATCGAACCCAGGCCCCCTCCATTGGGAGCCCAGAGTCTTAGCAACTGGACCACCCGGGAAGTCCCAAGATGCTTGCTACATCAAAATCAACTTCAGGATCTACCTACAAAACAGAAAAGTTACTTGCAAGCAGAGAGGCTGTGTGGATGGATGAATGCCTGCTGCGAGGGGCTTCAGAGTGGGCTTTGGCCCTGGATCCAGGGAGGAGAGTTCTCTGGGTGCTGTGAGCATCTGCTCTCCCTGTGTTTCTGAAGTCCTTGCCTTTCCTAAAGTGGCCTGTTTCTCTAGTTCCGTCCCTCCTCTCTGAGTTTAGGATCCCTCCACCATAGCATCTCTTGTGATCTGGATCATACCCACCTGCCTCCTGCCTTCTGACTGCCCCTTTGAATCAGATGTTGACCTTCTGGTGGCAGGATCCTGGCCACCACCCCCACAGCCCGTGTCCCCAGAGTAGGTGTGGTGGTATCCAGTTATTTTCGCAGTAAACATCTTTGTCTAAGGCATCATCACCACATACCTAATTAACTAGTTGGCCAGAAGGCAATTTTGCCATATGAATATAAAAAGTAAATAAAAGAGGGACATTTAAAAGGACACAATGAACCATGAAAAATGAACTGAAAAAATGAAGACTTTGTTATTAAATAGAAAATATTTTAATATATTTAAAATATATGTAGGAACTTCCCTGGTGGTCCAGTGGTTAAGACTCTGCACTTCTAATGTAGGAGGCAAGGATTCGATCCCTGGTTAGGGAACTAAGATCCCACATGCCATGTGGCTCAGCAAAAAAATTTTTTTAATATGTGTAGATTCATGGCCATGCAGCATAAATAAGTGATTTTATTTTGGGTGTTGTATCTAAGCACTTGTCTTCCAAGTCTTTCATTCATAATATTTTATCCTCCCCCCTCCCCACTATCCATTGATTGATCTCCTCATTCAGCATCACACTTTTTCTTGTTTACTAAAATCTTTTCATTCATTAACAGAGGTATCAGTTTCCAAACACTAGGATGCTGTTCATAACACAGCTTGTCCTGTGCTGGGGGAAACTTTTACACTGTTGGGTACTCTTGGCACATTGTCACATGTCTGCTGATAGACATTCCAAAGTTCTGCAGGAAATGGGGGTTTAATTCTGTGCTTTCAAATCACCAAAGGATTTGCAAACTGATATGTTATCGTTTTCTAGTATAATATGTCATCTGGCTTTATCCTCTCATTTCACACTTTCAGTTTTATCACTGCATTTTCTATCAAGTCAATATTACATAACTGTTATCACCCATTACTTTAAAACCATCACATTTATACTTGTCACTGTATAGTCACACGGGCTAAGATTTATGTAATATAAACATGGGAGTCCTGTATCAATAGAGAAGTGAAACCCAGTTGTCAACCAGTTATTTTATCTTTTATGGCAGAATTGTCTCATGGCCAATTAGTTATGAAATGAAAATGTTTGTAGAGGAAGTGCCCGCGGCACAGATGCGTATGGTGGAGATGTTTACCATGAAGGTACAGAGTAGGCCTGGATGAAGAAACCTCTGATCTCTGATCTCAGAAGGTGGACAGGTCCTCGACGTCTCCAGGCCACTGCCAAGGATCAGGCCTGAACGCTGGGCCGGCTCTTCAGGTGCCTGGTCCACCTTGTGCCCCATCTGTCCCCATCCTGGGAGGAAATCCCCAGCTTCAGGGTGTCCTCGGGGAGCACCAGGACCACACGCCCCAAGTTTCACCACTGTGTCGCAGGTGCACGGAGCAGATGCCTCACTTCAGCGTGCAACCCGAGAACAACTGCTCCGTTCGGCCAGCAGATGGTAACTGTCTGGTCCCCTGCCTTGGGCCAGGGAGGCAGTGCTTTGCAGGACCGGCAGAGCGCCTGGCCCCTGCAACAGCGGGCAAAACTGTTGGCTCTAGAAGTTGAATCCGGTGTCAGCTCTCCCAACCTGTGTTCCAGATTTCTCCATGTGTCCTACTCATGTCCTCATTTCAGTTAATTTCTGTAGTAATGTTATGAGCAGAAAGAGTCTAAACCCAACGGGTGGACTTTATCTCCAGCAGTTTCTTTTTTCTTTAGAAAATTGAGGTGAAATTCACATGACACAAAGTTAACCATTTTAAAGTGATAATTCAGTAGCATTTAGTCCATTTCCATTTCCCAAAAGGAAACCCCATACCCCTCAAGCAGTCACTCCTCATTGCCCCTCACCTGGCGCCTGTTAACCACTCATCAGCTTTCTGACTCTGGGGATTTTTTATTTTATTATTTATTATAATAATAATAATTATTATTATTTTTTGCCACACTGTGTGGCATGCAGGATCTTAGTTCCCTGACCAAGGATAGAACCTATGCCCCCTGCAGTGGAAGCAGGGAGTCCTAAGCACTAAACCACCAGGAAATTCTCTGGGGACTTTTTAAGTTTTGGCTATTTCATATGAATGAAATCATACAATATGCAGCCTCTTGGGTCTGACTTATTTCACTCAGTATAATATTTTTAAGAGTCATTCACAGTGTATTAATAGCAGGTGTCACTGCTTCATTCCTTTTTATGGCTGAATACTATTTCATCTTATAGATGGATCACATTTTGTTTATTCATCATCCATTGATGGACATCTGGGCTGTTTCCACCTTTTGGCTGTCCTGAACAGCGCTGCTGTGAACATGTGTGTACAAGTATCTGTTAGCGTCCTTATTTTCAATTGTTTTGATATATATCTTGGAGTAGAATTGCTGGGTCATATGGTAATGGGAGAAGGGAATGGCTACCCACTCCAGTATTCTTGCCTGGAGAATCCCCACGGAGAGAGAAGCCTGGCAGGCTACAGTCCATGGGGTCGCAAAGAGTCAGACACGACTGAGCGACTTTCACTTCACTTCACTTCAAGGTAATTCTTTAATTTTTTTGAGGAATTGCCAAACCAGCATTTTCTTGATAAACATTGGTTTCCTTCTTCCTGTTTGGACTGTCTCACTTCCCAGAAGCCGTCTTGAAGAGACCTCCTAAATTTTGCTCATTGTTAACCTGAAATTCAAAATTAACTGAGTGTCCTGCATTTTTAGTAGCTAAATCTGGCAATCCAGAATATACTACATGAGAATAAAATCAAATTTGAAATTGTAGGGTATACACTGCAAGTAGGGTAGAAGCTCAGATACAAGATGGAGGGAGTAATCCACACGGCTGCCTGGAAGAGACAGTAATCAGTCGGGCCTCTAGGCTTATTGTTGTTGTTTAGTCACTAAGTCGTGTCTTTGCGATCCCATGGACTGTAGCCCACCAGGCTCCTCTGTCCATGAGATTTTCCTGGCAAGAATACTGGAGCGGAATTTCCTTCAACTGGTACTGCCATTTCCTTCTCCAGGGAATTTTCCTGACCCAGGGATCAAACTCCCTGCTTGGATCTCCTGCTTGGCAGGCGGATTCTTTACCACTGAGCCACCTGGGAAGCTCTTCTAGGCTCATTAGGCATTATGTAATGAGGCGTTTTGCTAGGGAGAGGGTGTTAAAGTCTCCCAACCTCACCTGTGCTCCTGCCCTCTCCCACCGCTGCCAGAGCCGGTGCCCCAGTTGCAGGCTGACTGCACCCTGCCAGACAGCAGGCCAGGCCTCAGGGTAGAGGTGTTCTGCGGGCATCCTCGGGCAGCCCACCTACAGACTGGTCAGAAGGGACAGGCTCACCCACATGCTGTAGATTCCAAACCCAGGGGGAGTCTGCCAACTTCTCCTTCCCACCAAAGCAGACGTCGGACTAGTTCTGGTGCCAGGCTGAAAGTGACATCGATGTCCAGGACAGTCCCTTCACACTGGTACTCCCAGGTAAGAGGGCCCGTGGTTTTGGTTTCTAGAAGGGCAGCTGCCACTTCTGGTAGGTCAGTGGGAGGTGCCGAGAGCAGGGAAGGGTGCCCTGATGCGGCCATGCCTACCCTGGCCTGGCCTGACATGGGCCCAGCCCAGCTGCCCCCGCCTCCTTCACAGGAGAGCTGCACCAGGAAGCCACCTTCATGCTGGTTGGTACCCTCATCTCCATCATAGCCTTCTTTTCTTGGAAACTGATCTGGACCAAGCAAACCAGGTAGGAAACGGGTGCTGGATGTGGGGGAGGAGTGAGCTGCTGGTGGCCTGAGGGGACCCACCGGGGCCCTGGCTGGGCAGAGCTGGTGGGGGTTGGCAGGGCAGGGCTGCCGCTGTGGTCAGGCAGGACCCTTTGGGGCCTTCCTGGGACAGACCCCTCTCCCATCTCTACTCTGCTGTAGCTCCTCTCTGAAGTATCCACATAACAGACATAGGAAACCCACATAAGTTACCCACATAACCCACATCTCAGACATAGGGATTTCTTGGGTGCTAAAACCCACCACCAAATGGAAGCACTTAATTACTTGATGACCATGGGCTCATAACCCTGGCACCTTCTGGTGCCCAAGGATTGATAATGCTAACCTCTGTGACACCAACCTGTTCCCTCAGCCTCACCAATCAGAGAACTGATCACATACACTCCTGAGACGCTCTTCCTTCCCCTGGCCCATAATGTTTTGCTGGAACTCTTCGAGGAGTTCAGGGTTTGAGGCGGGGTCGGGGCTGGAGGTGGGGGGCATGAGCCCCCCCCCCCCTTCTCCTTGCATGGCCCTGCAATAAACCTTTCTTTGCTCCAAACTCCGACATTTTGGTTTCTTTGGCCTCGTGGTGTGTTGGGCAGAGGTAACACCATCAGGGCAATGAAAGGGCCATATTGCTTAGGCGTGACTTGCAAAAGCTTACTAAGGGCCGAGCGTGTGTCAAGTGCCCATGAAGCGCATTGGCGGCTTTATCTGACCTTGATCATGCTCTAGCCACCTTCCCGTGGGGTCTGCTGACTCTGGTGGGGGCACTCTCCCATGTTCCCAGCCATCTGAGGAGGATGAGGCCACCCGGGACCAGGGTGGGCCAGGGGCTTCTACCCTCCATGGGAACCCTGTCCATCTTCCCAGCTGGTGACTGGAGACAGGGGATGGATTTCCTGGGGTCCCCTCTCCAAGGCCATGACTTCACTGACTTGTAAAGTTGTTGCAGGAAGGGGGATCCCTTCCAGGACCCGAAGGTGGGCTCTTGTCTAACACTTGGAAATAAACTGTCCAAGGAGACACACGTGCTGACAAAGCAAGAGACTTTGTTGGGAAGGGGCGCCCAGGCAGAGAGCCGCAGGACGAGGGAACCCAGGAGGACTGCTCTGCCACTGGGCTCACAGTCTCGGGTTTTATAGGGATGGGGTTCGTTTCTGGGTTGTGTCTGGCTAATCTCTCTGACTCAGGGTCCTTCCTGGTGGCATGTGGGTCACTCAGCCAAGATGGACACCAGCGAGAAGGATGGGAGGTTGGTAGGACATATGGATCATCTCCTTTCTCCTTTCGACCTTTCCTGAATTCTTTGGGTCGGCGGTGACTTGTTAGTTCGGCATTCCTTACCAGGACTCCTGTTGTAAGAAAACTCACGTAAATGACCTTTGTGCTGCCCAACCCCAGGCGCTGCAGGTCTGCGCACTCCACCTGCCTGGCCTTTGGCAATGGTCAGCTCTGCCTCCTGAACTTGTCACCTTCCGTGGTTCCTAAGACACTGCTGTCTCCTGGCCCTCCTCCCCACTCCTGTGTTAGCGAGCCTGTCACCCCAGAATCACACCCCTGCCCCTCCGTCAAACAGAAACCAACTACTCTTATCTAAGTTTCAGGAGGAAGCAACAAAGAAAAAAAAGAACCAGTTAACACCAACAAGACCCAAGATAGCAGAGGATTAGACTTCCAATGGATCTAGAGCTTATTATACACTCTATACATTAACTAGAAGACATACCCACCCGCGCTAGGATGGTTGACAATCACCATGACGATAACTGGAAAAGCCCCCACAAGGACTGAAAAGGAGAGCTGCACCAGTTTCAGGTCCAAACCACATCCCTGTTCTTGGATAAAATGTTCCTCTTGCTCTTCCAAACCCTCCCTTTTACTACAACCATCCTATATATTTAGTGTCTCCATCTGAATTGGCTTGAGTTGATTTACAAACTAGGTTCCCACTTCAGTCTTTGGCCATTGAATAAAGCTGGTGCTGTTCCAGTCACAGCATTGGTTTTGTTAGTGTCTGTGCAAACCTAATCAGAAAAAGAAGCTTCCTGACTGAGATCAGGGGGTCTCAGCCCGGGCTAGGACCCCCAGTGCTGACCTAGTCGACCAATTTGGTAATACCCAGCCAGCGTCTTCAGTGGGCTTTCTCCAGAAGTCTGTCCTTGAAACTCTCCTTGTCTTACCTCCAAGTTTCCTCTTCCCAAATCTGTGCTTTACAGACGCCAGGCTCATGGGTGGGCCATGTCGGCTCTCTGAGCCTGTTTCCCCTTTTATAACATGGGGTGTAGAGACCAGTGGCCAGTGCTTACTTTCCAGGTGATTCAGTGCCCCCTTTATTTAGTGGGGTGACTAAGCCTCCTGCCCCTCCTCCTGCCCACAGCACTGATGCACTTGGCACCAATAAAATTCCTGGAGGCCTTGGGAAGGGGGTGGCTGGGAGGTGTGCTAGCCTCACCTCGAGGCTCAGCCCCTTTGTCATCAAGGCTGGGACCAGAAGACAGCCCCCAGGAGAGACAGCCCTGGGCCTTGTTCCCTGTGGAAGGACCCTCCATTTGAAGAAATGAAAAGAAGAAAAGAATGATGGAAAAACCCACCAGCCTGGATCTTGCAGCCCTGGGGTTCCTCATCAAACATACATGGTGATAGTTTGAGGGTTTTAGGATGGGATGTGGGTGGTGGCAGAGGAGGGGAGGTTGTAGGAGAAGGGGGCTCCGTGAGTCCATGCCTCAGCTGCTTGTCACCCTCCATCCAGGTCTGGGAAGAGGGTGGGGTGGAAAGTGAAGGCTCAGAGGCACCAACCCACTCAGGGCCACTGCCTCCCCCCGCCCCCCCCCCTCCCTGGAGTGGCGCCCCATCTCCTGGTGGTGTCTGGCTCCACCTCCCACCTGTCTGTCCAGCTCACCTGGAAGACTCCGGGCCCCACATGGCCAGCACCCTCTCATTAAGCCTTACCTGCAACCAGGATGGCTGGAACTCCTCCCTGCAGAACTACCCCCCACCCCCCAAACTCAACCCCCACTCCCCACCCACTCACCAGACACACGCAGTCATTCCAGTTTGGACTCAGCCATTTTCGGAAAGAACTGGATTAAACTCTGCCCCCTGCCTGTCACCCTGGGAACTTCCTTTCTGTCCACACACCAGCTTGGAGCCTGGAAGTCGGCCCTCACAAAGCCCTCCCTTCAAGGCCTCCAGGCTGGGCTGGGTCCGGGAAGAATTGGGAGGGGCCGTGGTGTTGGAGAAGACTCTTGAGAGTCCTTTGGACTGCAAGGAGATCCAACGAGTCCGTCCTAAAGGAAATCAGTCCTGAATATTCATTGGAAGGACTGCTGTTGAAGCTGAAACTCCAGTACTTGGGCCAAGTGATGCGAAGAACTGACTCATTTGAAAAGACCCTGATGCTGGGAAAGATTGAAGGCAGGAGGAGAAGTGGATGACAGAGGATGAGATGGTTGGATGGCATCACTGACTCAATGGACATGAGTTTGAGTAAACTCCGGGAGTTGGTGATGGGCAGGGAAGACTGGTGTGCTGCGGTCCATGGGGTCGCAAAGAGTCGGACACGACTGAGTGACTAAACTGAACTGTGATCTCACCCCCCCGCAGGTTTAGCTCCAAAGAGGAGGAAAGAGTGACAGGCCAGGCGGGGAGGGGTCCAGGCTGTGGCCCCGGGGCTGGGGTAGAAGAGGGGAGAAGAAAGGGGGTGCATAGGGAGCCTGGGTCGTGGACAGGTGTGACCCAGACGGGCGTCTAGCGGAGCTTCCTGGAGGAGGAGGCGGGGATGCAAGGGCAAAGAGTGGCTGGAGCAGAGGGGCGAGCCCTCCTTGCGACCCTCTCTTCCCGGGGACTTTCTGAACACTTTCCAGCAGGGCTGCGGGCCAGCATCGCAGAGGGACGAGACCCCAGCCGAGACGTGGGCTAGACAATGAGCCCGCGACCGCTGGACTGACTTCGGTGACTGGCAGCGCAGGCTAGGCCAGGCCAGGCCGTCGGGGCCCCGCGGCCGCCTGGGCACCGCCGCTCGCCTTGGGCGGAACTTTGCCCTCGGTCCCTGGGGCGGCGCTGGCCACGCCCCCGGGGGAGGAGTCGAGTCGGGGGCGGGGAGGCCGCCTGGCTCCTCGGCCGTCCGCGGCGGCGGCGGCGGCGGCGGCGGCGACGGCGACATGGAGAGCGGGGCGTACGGCGCGGCCAAGGCGGGAGGCTCCTTCGACCTGCGACGCTTCCTGACGCAGCCGCAGGTGGTGGTGCGCGCTGTCTGCTTGGTGAGCCTGGGTGCGGGGCCGCGGGGACCCTACTTCGTCGCCAGGCCAGGGGCGGCGAGGGTGGAGGGGGCCTCCGCGCGCCGGAGAGCGCGACAGGTGGTAGAGGCCGAGGCCCGGGGGTGGAAGCGGCGCGCGCGGGGCGGGCGAGCGGGGCCCGGGACCCTACAGCGGTTCACCACCGCCCGCACCCCGGGGCCCCGCCGCCCACCCCCACTCCGACCCGCGCCGCCCCCCACCCCGGGCCCTGCCACCCGCACCTCCCGGCCCGGGCACCGGGTGGCCCGGGAGGCGCCGCCGGGAGCAGGCCTGTCGCCCTGCTGGCAGTGGGAGGAGTTTGAGGCGGCTCCAGGACAGGTGGCCAGAGTGCCACGACTTCCAGCCTGGGGTAATTCATCAGGAGGGGGGCTTTCCGAAGCCACGTGGGGTGCACGGGGTTGCGGGGGAGGGCCTGGCCACCCTGAAACAGAGCCTGTCTTCCGCTCAAGAGCAGCCCATGGGTCTGCTTCCCCACCCAAGGTCAAGTGACTCTAGTCTGTGCCCCTCCCCCTGAGCTGGGTGAGCCGCCAGCACCAGGTTACTGGGGCAGGGGGTTGGTGGGAGGTCCCCTGCTCTTGGACAAGCAGAGCTCAAAGCTGGACAAAGTGTTAGCCAGCCCGCAGGCAGAGGGCTGGGCCTACAGTAGCCACACCGCACCTGCCTGGGGCTGAAGCCCTGTGAGTTGCCCTGGTGACACCCTCATCCGCACTCTGCCTGACCTGTGGGGTCCGACCCCAGGAGCAGATGCCCATGTTTCGAGATGGCAGTGCCAGGAGTCAGGCTGGCACACCGCTCCCAGCATCCAGAGTTCCGGCTTCATCTCCAGCTGGGGGTGGGGCTTGTGACTGCCAGCTCTGGAGCCTATTGAGAGGGCCTTGTGCAGGCAGGCAGGGCAGGCGGGGGAGAGGCCTGGGCTAGTTCCAGAGGGAGCCAGGTGTCCAGACTCATATAAGGCAGGGTGGGGCGGTAGCCTTTCAGTTTGGGGCGGAGACAGATGATGTGAGGCTGCTCCCAAGGGCCCGGAGCCCCTCCCAGAGTTGTGGCTGGTGCACCTTCTTGACCCCCTACCCCAGTGCCTCCAGGGTCGAGTACAGAGCTGTGTCCACAGGCCTGCTGGGCAGACCCGCCTGATATGCCCTGTGTGGGTAGGACCCGCTATGGGCAGAAGCCAACAGGGATTCCCTGGGAGGCCAGGGGACAGGATGCCAAAGAGCCCAGAATTTTTTGTAGGAGGAAAACTGGCCAAACTGGGGAGCCCAGCCTGGAGCAGGGAAAAGTCGGAGAGGGCTGTGGGAGTTGGCAGTCTGGGGACCCGGTTTCAGTTCAGAGGCCTGGTTTTCCTGAAGTGGGAGGAGTTCTCCATCACTAGGTGTTCAGGCCAAGGCTGGGCGCTGGAGAGGTGGCTCAGGCAGGTGGTGATCGGGGGTGAGACTCCAAGCTTGGGTTTCTCTGACTTTGTGAGCCGTCCTGCTTAAAACTCACTAAAAGTGGGAGTGGTCAGGCAGAGCCATCCTCCAGGCAGACAGCGGGGTGGGCAGTCCCCACCCCGGAGATCCCCCTGCACTCCCCACTGTCCTCAGTCCAGGAATCCCCAGTCATGCCCCTCATGACGGATGTCTGGAGAAGGGAGTGGGGAGGGGACTTGCTCCCCAAGTTCAGGAAGGGCTGGGTCGCTGACCTCCAGCAGGGGAACAGCAGGAGCGGCGGAGGCCAGTGTCCCCTCCTATCAGGGTCCCACTCCATGTGCCGCCTGGGGGTGTGGCCCACGAGGGTGGCGGTCACTCAGCCCTTTCCCCGCCTCCTGCTCAGGTCTTCGCCTTGATTGTCTTCTCGTGTATCTTCGGCGAGGGCTACAGCAACACCCACAATTCCCAGCAGCAGTACTGCGTGTTCAACCGCAACGAGGACGCCTGCCGCTACGGCGCCGCCATCGGGGTGTTGGCCTTCCTGGCCTCAGCCTTCTTCTTCGTGGTTGACATCTATTTCCCGCAGATCAGCAATGCCACTGACCGCAAGTACCTGGTCATCGGTGACCTGCTCTTCTCAGGTATCGGCCAGCTGGCTGCACCTCCATTTGATCTTGGGGTGAACAGGAGCAGCAGTGTTTCCAGAAGCTCTAGGGGTCTGTGGCTGAAGGCTGGGGAGGGGTGGGAGCAGCCCCGGGTCTCCCCATGCCCGCAGTCAGGCTGGCACACAAGGACTTCTCACCATCCACTGAAACCCCCTGGAGCTGAGTGGGGCTTGGAGCAGAGCCCTAGAGAGGGCATCCTGTCCCCACCCCAGCTTCTGCATCAGCACCTCTGCACCCTGGGAGGCTTCTCGCTCCCGGGGGCCCTTGTCCTCCCACCGCTCCATGGAGCTGACCCTCCCCTCCTGGCCTTCGCCCCAGCTCTCTGGACCTTTCTGTGGTTCGTTGGGTTCTGCTTCCTCACCAACCAGTGGGCGGCCACCAAGGTGGATGACGTGCGTATAGGAGCCGATTCAGCCCGGGCGGCCATCACCTTCAGCTTCTTCTCCATCTTCTCCTGGGTAAGTGGACCCAGGGTGGGCCAGGGTCCTGGTGTCTCTGGCGAAGGGTGGTGCAGGGCTGAGGAACCCAAACCTTGGGGCTCCCTGCAGGGCGTGCTGGCCTCCCTGGCCTACCAGCGCTACAAGGCTGGAGTGGATGACTTCATCCAGAACTACGTGGACCCCACTCCGGACCCGAACACGGCCTACGCCTCCTACCCAGGTGTGCCCGCGGACACCTACCAGCAGCCGCCCTTCACCCAGAACGCTGAGAGCACGGAGGGCTACCAGCCGCCCCCTGTGTACTGAGCTGCTGCGGGGATGGTGTGCGGAGGGAGGAGGGCGCCTGGGGGCCTCCCCTCCTCCTCCCCCAAGGCTCGGCTCCTAGAGCCGCTGGCCCCTGGCTCCTGTCCGAACTGACACAGGGCCTGGAGAGAGCGCCCTGAAGTGCCTGTGCCCCAAGGGCTTCACCCACCACTCCTTGAGGGCATTTTTTTAGGAAAGGGTTTTTAGCTAGACACGTTTTGTTGCTTTTAATGACCGGCATCCCCACCTGGAATAGCTCCAGGCACCCGATGTGCTGTTTTGACAAGTGCCTTAGCTTCTCCCCAGCCCAGGAGCCGGGCCCACATCCAGGCGCCGGTGGCCGCAGCCATCTGGGGTTCTCTGCCAAAGACGAGGCTGCGGGGCCTTCTCGCTCCTGCCGTGGGCGCTGGGCCGGGGCTTCTTCCCTCCTCACTCAGGTTTGTTCCGCCCCAGCCCCCTGCCCGCTCTGCGGGCGGCCGGCCAGCCGTGCTCACTGCTGAAGTGTCTGCTCGCTTGGACCTGTGGTCACTCTGTGCCAGTGCCTCTGGGTCACCTTCCTGGCAGCCGAGGGGGACTCAGGCAGCTGTCTCAGATCCCGCCCTGTGGCCGCAGGGAGGGGCTTTGCCTGACAACACCCAGCTTTATGTAAATATCCCAGCTCTGTCAGGAGGTGTGGGACGCACCCACAGCCCCCAGGCTACTCTGAATGTATATTACAAAGCCTTGGGGGAAGGACGCACAGCACCCTTGGATTCTGTTAGACTAATTCTGGAGATGGAATAAATGGTTTTCTCATTCATAATCTCCATGTCATTGGCGGGGCCTCTCCCTGGGGCTGGGAGGAAGAGAAATTCCACCGAGGTCCAAGCTGTGGCTGAGGCCCTATGGAACCTAAGTTGTGGCAGCCTGCCCCTCCACTGTGCCCAGCAACTCCCCCCACCCCCACCCGGCCTGGGGTCTCATGCCTCACACTGCTCTCCATCAGCATCTTAAAATAGCAACTGTGCTCAGCTTGTAAACAACACAGCTCTTCTGGGCCGCCTTGCCAGGGTCCTGGCATGCCCCAGGAGGGGCAGGGGTCCTCTGCTTCCTGTAGACAGGGCTCAGAACCCCTGCAGCCTGTCTCAGACCCTTGGGGAGCCGGCCTAACTGCCCAGCCCACACCAGGGAGCAAGCTCCACTCAGGCAGGAGGCCAGGGCCCCCGAGGCAACTCTGGACTTCCCCTTTCGAGCAGTGAGAGGGAGCTGTCAAAAGTGGGCCCCAGTAGTTTCAAAATCCTGAGTAAAAACTCACAGGGTTTGGGAATTACCGTCTGACCGTGGTACTGCACCCCTGTACCCTGAGACCAGCCACAAGCCAATGGGAGGGAGAAGCCGAGGTAAGGGTGGGGAACTCAGACCCCATCTGCACGGGGCAGACCCACAACCCAGGCCTACCCCACCCTGGCGCGCCCTCACCTTCCCATAAGCTGCACACAGCCAACGGGCTGTGGCAGAGCCCGAGGCACAGCAGAGCTGGTCTTCCTGGCTCCTGAACCGTCAAGTGTCTGTTTCACAAACTAAAACCTGACCTCACAGCCTCAGCTGGCAGCACAGACCAAGGCTTCACCTTTCCAACCAAGCCCCAGGCTCCTGCATCCATCTTGACCTGAGACCCGCCCAGACGAGCAGGCAAACATTCCTCTCAGAACACTTGGTGATCATCTCTCAGTTAAAAAGATTTGCGGTTAAGGGGTCAGGAGTATAGAAAAAGATTTGAAAGGAAATCCCCATACCTGAATAATGTCAGAGGTGTCTATAGTGAGACCTGGGGAATCCCAGACAGTTAAAAGAGAAATATGCTTTTACCAACCAATAAATTTTAATATTAGTTATCAGTTCCACACACACACAGCCCCCACCTCCTTAGAGGACAAGCCCATGGGAGCTGAGCCCCAGAGCAGGGTAAGTGTCACCCACGTGGAAGAAGCTGTAATTCCGGAGAAAATGATCGCCAGGTCAGGAAGGGCTTTCAGCCCAAAAGGAAATAAGAACAAGTCCAGCCATCCCCAGGGTCGGCCGGGAGCCCGTCCCAGGATGAGGGACCAAGTCTTTGCGTGGGAGGAGGCCGACGCTGAGCCAGAGGTGCTGGGGTATGGGCTGCCCTGTGAGAACAGAAACTCAACAGCAGATGCCACAAAGGGGGAAGAAGCCGGCGACGCCGATGTCACAGCAGCTTGTGGCTTGGCCTCACCCCAAGAGGGACGGCTGCAGCGGCCAGACCCCGCCTCGCAGGGCGGCCAGCTCCAGCCTGGGGAGACTGCGATGGCCCCGCAGCTGGGATGGGAACTGAGAAAAGCCAGTGGGCAGGCAAGGAGGGAAGTGTGCAGTGCAGACCACCAGGCGCTGCACTGGCCTGGGAAAAGGCGCAGCAGCAGGCCGATCGCTGGTGAAACCTCCACCCCCCCACCAACACCACCTCCCCCGCAACTTCCTCCTCCAAGAAGGCCGAGCAGCGCGGGCGTCCGCCAGGGGGCGACCGCGGGCGGGGGGCGGGGCAGGTGGCCTGTGAGCGCCCGCCCCGGGGAGGGGCCAGTGCCTCAGTTGGCCTGACTGCACTGCAGGATATGAGGGGCAAACAGCTTCCGGGCTCCTGGGGCCTCCGCGGGCTTTACCAGCGTCATCGGGCAGTTCTCCTTATTCTCTTCGCTGTCCAGCATGGCGGGCTGACCCGAGGCCTTCTTGAAATAGCACAGGCGGCACACGGAGTGGTACTTGTCTGCTCCTCCGATGACCTCGACCTGACCGGGAGACAGGAAGAGCCTGCACTGAGCGGGGGGGGCGCAGTGCCCCACCCCTCGCCCCTGGGAGAAGGCAGAGGGCGGCTACGTCCTTCTCCACGCCCAGCCTCTTGGTGTAGGCGCCCCTCCCTGCCCCCCACCCGCCCATCCTTTGGAGAAGGCGGGGGGGGGGGGGGGGGGGGGGGGTGGTCGGGTGGCGGTGGGCAGCTACCTCCTTCTCCACGCCCAGCCTCTTGGTGTAGGCGGCCTCTCGGAAGCACTCCATGCACACCGCCGTCAGCTTGACCACGCTCTCCGCCAGGGGCACCAGGTTCAGGATGGTCCCGAAAGCCTGTACCGGCCACAAAGACGGGTGCACACTCATTTCGCCAGGTGGGCTTTTCCTAGAGCCCCTGACTCACAGCCCTGAAGCCAGGAAACCAAGCCTGGACCTTGGCTTCCCCCAGAGCACCAGCCCGAGGCAGGTGGAGTCAGGGTCACCCCGGGGAGCTGGGTCTGGCTGGCCTGAGTGCCTGGGCTCAGGCATGGTGTGGGCATCCAGGGCGAGCTGGGCTGTCCAGTTCTGTGTGCTGCCCAGGCCCCTCCGTCCCCGGTCCCATCCCAAGACTTGGACCAGACACTTCACCTTCCTCTGGAAGGTCCCATCCAGCGCAGCCACGATGACGGTCTTCCCCGAGTTGGCCATGTTTTCGCAGAACTCCACGATGTCAGGGAACTGGGGGAAAGGGTGAGAGGAGGAGGAGGGAGTGAGCTTCCGCCCTGGGTAGCAGCTTCCGGGAGCTGCAGACACGCCACCAGGCCCAGAAGCTCCAGCTACCCGGGTCTGCGTGGAGCTGAGAACAGGGCAGCCCCAGCCCTCCCACCCGGCACACGGCCTGCACACCCACAGCTGCCCGACTCGCTCGCTCCCCCATCGCACCAACTTTCCACAGCAGAGCCAGGCCATGTTCCAGGCTAGGCACCCGGATCTGCCACCAGGGTGATGCAACCCAGGTGGAGAGGCCGTCTGCCACCACAGTGGACCAAAGCCCAGATCCGACACTGCCTCGGGCTTGAACCCGGTTCTCGGTTGGACCCATTAGCTGTGACCCTGGCAATAATTTCACATTTCTGAGCCCAGGAAAAGGCAAGAAGGCCCTTGGTGATGTTTAAGGATTAAGGACACTCAAATACCTCATTACATATGCTATTTGGCTGAGAGGCAGGCTCTGTGTGTTTGCTTTTGTTTTTTTCTTCTTTTAAACATAATGTGCCATGACATGCCTGGAGAAGGTGTAGGAGTTCCACTGGCTACTTACAGAGCAGGATGGCTCAACACACCACCTGCAGAAAGTCACTTACTTGGTAAATCAAATTTCATTTCAAGTGGCTCAAGGGGCCACTACTTAAACGAATCCTTTGGTGACCTTTCACTGGTCAAATCATCTATCTGGTCTGTGGGTTGGGTGAAGTGGGGAGTTTGGGTGTTTGGGCAAAGGGTCTCTCTCCAAGCCACTCGTGGAGGTGTGTAGTTACAAGACCTGAGGGTTCACCCAGATGAGGACCAGGACAGGACTTAGAGAACCCGGAACAGTTCCAGCAGGATTCACGAAAGCCAGATCTGACCGCCCTCTGCAGGGTTTGCTGAGCCTGTGCTATGGAAACAGCACCTCCCACCCTGAGGCTCCAGCCTGGCTCCAGGTGAGGCCCCTCCTCTTCTCTAAAGGACTCGCTCCTCACAGATCACAGAAATGTAACCCCCAGCCTGCAAGGACCCGTCCACCAGTGCCCCCCACCCCCACCCACGTTGTCACAAACAAAACTGTTTCTAGACATTGCCAGAAATCCACGGGGACGGCGGGGGGCAGAACCACCCTGGGAGGAGCACCCTCTTCATCTTACCCTCCCTGTCCAGACATGGTCCCTCCACACCAGGGTTTGGTGACTGCGAGGGGTCCTCCACCCTGCCTGCTACAGTGATGCCAGTGGTCAAGAGAGCTCAATTGTTCCACCTGAACTTTGTGCCCTGTTCACATGCCACCCCGCTCTCTGCCCAAACGCTGAACCCAGGGCCCCCAGCAGGGGTTCCTGAACAATCCAAGGTATAGTCAGAGCTGCCCAGGTCGTCTGCAACATCCCAGAAGGCCCACTGGTAACCAACCACGTTACTGACGTTTGTTTCTATCACCATTCATTTTTTGGGTTATGTTATGGGTTGACTCGTGAACCCTTCCACCACCCCACCAAATCCTTACGCTGAAACCCTGACCTCCAATACCTCAGAATGCGACCTTATTTGGAGAGAGGGTCTTTGCAGAGGTCATCCAGTTAAAGTAGGTATGTAGGGTGGGCCTCACTCCAGTATGAATGGTGTCCTCGCAAAAAGGGGAAACTTGGACCCAGGGACAGACAGAGAAGAAGATGAATGTGAAGATGCAGGGAGCACATGGCCACCCACACGCCGAGGGGACCGGCCTGAGACAGACTCTCCAACTCTCCCTCACGGCCTCAGAGGGAACCATCCCTGCCCACACCTTGGTCTTGGGCTCCCAGCCTCCAGAGTTGTAGGAAATGAATGTCTGTGGTCTAAACTGCCTGGTCTGCAGTGCATGTTACAGCAGCCAGAGACCCCAGTACAGGTTACCTTTAAAGTGGGACTTCAGAGGACCTAGCAAATGAATTTTCTTGGGAGATAAAAATGATCACCACAGGGGATCCAGCGAGAAAAGCAACAGGAGGGGTTTCTCGACAGTGACAAGCCTGCCCATGTGATCATCTGCTGGTCCAGCACCAGGGCTGACCTGCCGAGAACCGCTTCCTGAACAAAGTGCAATGGGTGGGGGAGAGGACCGAAAGCTGTGGAAGCGGAGATCAGGCAGCCAGGAAGGAGATTCGCCCTTGTCGTCATGTTGCTGAGAGGTGGCGGCCTCGTGACGCTCGAGGGAAGCACCCCGGCCCTGCCCAGGCGGAGACCTCACTTCCTGGCAGCCCGGCTGGCGTTGAAGGTTGCAGAGGCCACAGGAGGAGACAGGGCAAAGGATGTGACAGTGAAGGATTCAGCCGCTCCACCATGAATGGTAAAGACTAAATGAGATGCCCAGACCAAATCCAGAGGCAAATAAACCAGGAAGAAGTATTTGCAGCACGTAACAGAGTGGCACTGGTTATATCACACGTCCCAGAGGAAAGACAACCCAAGAGGAGGCTCTTTACAAAAGGAGAAATACAGGGAAAACAGTGTCAGCCACCCAGGAAGAAAAGAGAAAGGCAGGCAGAACAGAATATGTGCGTGCAGCCACCGCCCCCTGCCCCCCTCGGGGGATGTCTGCAAAGACCCGGCGTCCACCCCCCTCGCAATCCATCCATGCCCCTCCAGCAGAGGGCCGTCCTGGGCGGCTTCCAGGCTCTCCCAGGGTTCAGGCTGAAGTCCTTCCTGCTGACCAGGCCGAAGCCCCTGATCTGGAGCACACTCTTGCCTGGGAGCTTCACCCCACTTTCCTTCCAGCCGCTTTCTGACCGTTCTCATAAAGCATGATCCCCACTGGGGCTCCACCTACTTCACACGGCTTTTCTCTCCCCTAGGTGCCAGAACTTTTACATATCTCTTTCCCTCAGCTAGAATGGAAGTGCAAGGGCGAGACCCTGGCTGTACCCCCAACACCTAGAACACGGCCGCCGTATGGCTCAAGCTCAGAAAACACTGGATGAATAAGTTCGACCTCTTGACCAGTGATTCCAGTACACCAGATAAACCCCAATACACCAGACGACAGCCCAATGTCCACCCACACGTCCATCACAGCCTTTAAGTGCCACACCCAAGGGGGTGGGTCATGCAAGACACGGTACCTTCATAAGGACAGGTATCTGTTGATGTGGAAAGATGGTCACAACACGTGATATGAGCCCGATCTATAAGTAGATATATATGTACGGAGACTAGAAGGATGCAGACCAAGATGTTCTGTGATTTTTGTTTTGTTTTTCTGAGCAGCGAAAGAGAAGGGCAGGGCAGTGGGAGGAGCTGCCTGCGTTCACAGTGGGCCTCGGGGTTGCTGTGCTGAACAGAATTAATTTCATACAACTAATTTCACAGAATTAATTTCATGAGCTTCTGGCCCCCTCACAAAAGACAAAACCAGACTCCTTCTCGGGAATTCCCTGGGGGTCCAGTGGTTAGGATTCAGAGCTCTCACTGCCGTAGGCCCCGGTTCAATCCCTAGTCCAGGAACTAATATCCCACACGTGTTGCATGGTGAAAACAAACCAGACCCCTCCCTAAGCATGTCTGAGCACAGACAGAATGTAAGCATCACCTAGGCTACGGGATACCCTAGGTATCCCCCCTCCTGGATAAAGGAGTGACCCCTGCTGCTTCGGCCTCCTGGTCCACCCTCCCTACAGGTGACGTTTAAGATGCTGGTCAGAATCATCGCCCTTCCCAGGATACCATATCAAAAGCCAAACCGACCTCCAAAACCCTCCCCAGAATGACCCGATGCAGCCCGCATTTCCTAATAACCAAGCCCTCACCCACAGCCCCCAGTTCTCATGTCGGTGTCTCCCTGCAACTACAGTCCCCAGTTGTTCCGTTCTGGAGCTGTTCCTGGTGGTCCCTGGGCAGAAGACGCTGGTAGTCAATTATGGACTTTCTTCTTAAGTACAGTCCTTCCTGACTTTTCCGAGATGACCCCCCGTCCTACTTGTGGTAAAGCAGAGATAAGAACAGCACTCAGGGTGATACCGCGAGGCTGGCATGCCCAGGAGCCAGCTGCCCACATATCATTGTACCCTCAGCTGATAGCTTGGGGACTTCAGACACACCCTTCCCTGACACCCCGTCTGCACGGAAGGATGAAGGAAGGGAGGGGCAGTCCTTTTGTTGGGTCCCATGTTGAGAGGCAGCCCCTGGGACCCCAGACTTCTTTCTAAGCAAGACCCACAGGGGTGAGGACAGAACAGAAGACTGGCGATGTTTCTATAGGGGGTTTAATAAATACTTATGATGGAAACTCAACTGTGACTTGCTGGCCAGGGAGGAAGCAGCCATAGAAACACAGAACAGAACTAGGGGTCAGGTGGCCCACCAGCTCCCGAACCAGGGCACTTGGCTCTCAACCAAGGAGGTGTCAGAAGTGGAAGGTCCCTGCCAGGGTGTCCAGCTCAGCCCTGAAAACACACTTTACCTGTAGCCAGGGAGCAGAGTGGTTAGCAGGTACACACTGGGCCTGAAGGACATGAGAGCCTCCCCAAAGCTCACAATCCTTGTTCTGAGAGCCACCTCCCCAAAACTGACCCAGGCTCCCCAGAGCCTTCTGGAGATCAGAGTCTAGAAGAGAAAGGGAAGAGCTACAGCCCTGTTCTCACCCTGAACCATTCCAGAAAGACAACGGAAGGAACAGAATCGGTTATTAAATGAGAATATCTAAATGTCTATCAACAGGTGAGTGGATAAAGAAGATGTGGTACATATGTACAATGGAATATTACTCAGCCATTAAAAAGAACAAAACAATGCCACTTGCAGCAGCATGAATGGACCTGGAGTGAAGTCAGAGGAAGACATCATATAATATCACTTATATGTGAAGTCTAAAAAAAAAAACAAGGTACAAATGAACTTATTTACAAAAAAGAAACAGAGTCACAGGTATAGAAAACAAAGTTATGTTTACCAGGGGGCATGAGGTGGGCGAGGATAAACTGGGAGATTGGGATTGACATAGACACACTACCATATATAAAACAGAGAACAAATAAGGACCTCCTGCACACCACAGGGAACTCTACTCAATGTTCTATAATGGCCTGTGTGGGAAAAGAATCAATAAAAAAGCGTGGCTGGATGTATATCTGGAACTCATTCACTTTGCTGTACACTTGAAACTAATACACTGTCAATCAACTCTACTCCAATAAAGCGAAAACAAACAAAAAACCCAAGAGCAGATTGTTACATAAGCTACACCCAGTACAAAACAGGATCAATAAAAACAAGGCCTCCCCGGACCACACTGTTCTGAGAGAACAGACAGGTTCCCTGCCCAGGAGGGTGATCAGAGAAGCCTTCTCCTGAGCTCTAAGGTGTGCGGCTGCTGCTTTTCTAAAGCAGCAAGGGGAAATACTGGCCAAGTGCCACCCCGCTAAAACTAGAAAACAAAATAAAGCCATTTTCACATCAAGACTGGGAGAGCTTCCCACCGACACAGCCTGGCTGAAGAACTACTAAAGGATGTGTTTCAGTAGGAGGAAAAATAAACCCATAAAGAATAAGCAAGAGGGACTTCCCCAGTGGTCCAGCGGCTAAGACTCTGTGCTCCCAATGCAGGGGGCCCGGGTTCAGTCCCTGGTCAGGAAACTAGATCCTATATGCTGCAACTAAGACATGCTGCTGCCAAATGAATAAATATTAAAAAAAAAAAAAACAAGCAAGAAGCATCAATGAGCCAAACCAAACCAAACCCTTCCTTCTGGTATTGAGAAATCAAATTTTTTTGTTCATCATAAATTTTTTTTTTAAGGTACAATAAATTCCATGTAATAGTAACACAAAGGGACTTCCCTGGTGGTCCAGTGGCTAAGAGTCTGTGCTCCCAATGAAGGGGGCCCAGGTTTGATCCCTGGTCAGGAAGCAAGATCCCCCATGCTACAATGAAGACTGAATGAGACCCAAGCAGTCAAATAAATAAATATTAAAAAAAAAAAATAACTCAGTAACACAGAGAGCAATAAGGAGAATTCAAAGGGTTTTCAGATACTAGTTAAAGCAAATTAACTTAACAATATTTACCTTTAAAGATCAGAAATAGAACCAATAACCTCTAAACCAGCAGAGGAGAAAGGGGGACTTGAGGGGTTCATAGGAAGAGCAATGTCAGGACACGCCAACTTACAAACTGCCCTTCGTCGATGCCTATGACGGCCACGCCCTGGGCATCCTGGATCACATCCCGGAGCAGACAGGCTGGCAGGGCCTCCATGGTGTTCCTGGGGACAGAAAGCCAGAGTGTGGGCAAGGCAGGGGAGCCCGAGCAGACCCGGAACCAAGACGAGGGGCTAGGGAAGCGCCTCACGACCACCCCCTCCCTGCAAAGCAGGTCGAGCCATCTGCCTAGGGCTTTGAGAAGTTAGTGCCCGTGGGAAGGCATCTGGGGAGGAGAGTAAAGGTCTTTGTTCAGAAAACCAGTTATTCAACACGAGCTATTTCACTTCACGCTTTGGACTGGAAATTAGCAATGCCCAAATGTAAAAGGTCAACCTGGATGCCAAGCTCTTCTCTGCTGTGTGTGTAAGGGGAGGGGCCGGGGCACAGAAGGGGTTAATTCATCAGGTACAGTGTCCAGGGCCCATGATGCTTTGGGGATGAATGAAATCTTTTAATTCTCTTTTAAAAATCAGAATAAGGGGCTTCCCTGGTGGCTCAGTGGTAAAGAATCTGCCTGCCAGTGGAGGAGGCACAGGATCGAGCTCTGATCCTAGAAGGCCCCGCATGATGCACAGCAACTAAGCCCGTGTGCCACAGTTACGGAGCCGGTGCCCTCGAGCCTGGTAGCTACAATTGAAGCCCGTGTGCCCCAGGAGAAGCCACCCCAGTGAAAAGCCTGCTCACCACAACTCGAGAGTAGCCCTCGCTCGCCTCAACTAGAGAAAAACCTGAACAGCAAGGAAGATCCAGCCCAACCAAAAATAAATAAATAAAATTATTTAAAAAAAAAATCAGAATGTGACTCAGTCTGGTTTTTGCCTTTCTAGCAATGTAGTCAGAGAGTATAATTTTTTTTTTTCTTTTGATAGAGGAAGGGGCCCATGAAAGTCTTACCATGGCCCCGGGTAGACCATTAGCACCAGAATCTAAGACTTGCAGCCCCATGCGCCAGGAGAGATAAGCTGGGAACACCAACCAGCAGGGCAGTGACCTAGAATTCCCTCCTTTGGACTCCTCTGGCTGATTACAGGATTTCTTACAGACCATAGCACTATTAACAGGCAGTCAAATCCACATTCATGCTTCTGCCTCGTGTTTCCTAAGGGCGGATTCCCACACCCAGCAGAGTATGAAAGTGAAAGGCAGCTGTGGGAATGTTCCAGTGCATTAAATGACAGTGAATCCCGCCCTGCCCCCACAGCCAGGCCTTCTGGAAGAGGAAAGCTAGTTCTTTGTCTTCTTTTTAAAAAGTTTCTGTTTTTCTACAAGGTTCTTTTCTTCTGTTTCCATTTCTGCCTGCTCCTCTGAACTAGCCTTGCAAGGGGCTAGGAGCTTCCTGAAGGTTCTGCAGTTGGCAGCTAGAGTGGCTCAGGCCATAAAGAATCTGCCTGCAAGGCAGGAGACCTGGGTTCAGTCCCTGGCAACCCACTCCAGTATTCTTGCTGGGAAAACTCCCATGGACAGAGGGGTGGCAAAGAGTTGGACATGACTGAGCAACTTTCACTTTTAAACTATGCCGTAGTGATTATTTTACCAGTTATCTTATGGTCATCCTGCTTCAAGCTCTGGGAAGAGTGTGAAACTATTTCCTGCATTTTAAATGCCCCACCCTTCCCCAAATAAAGAAAACCAGAATGCAGGCAAGGCAGTAAGCTGGTTCCATCTCTAGCAAGAGCAGCGTCTCTGAGCTTTGTCACCCTGCCAAGCATTCGGTCTCTGCTGGGGCTTGTCCAGGCCTCGACAGCCCAAGTCAGAGAGGGTTTGTGACCCTGGGGCAGAGCTTGGATTTCACCCCACTGAACAGACTCCAGAAGCTGCACTTCTATTTGCTGCAGCGTTGCCTCTACTGCCTGATCGTCCTCCCCTGATGCTCCCCGAGTCCCATGCAGCGGAGGCCTGTGTTTTAGGGATGAGAAGGCAAATTTGGAGATGTAAATGACCTATCTGCAACAGACAGCAGGTCAGGGAAACGTCACTCAACGTTTAACTTAACTCCAAGTCCAGGGCCCTCTAAGCCCCAGCACCTGCCCGCCTTCAGAACCCCACTCGTTAGCCTATGAAATCACCCAGCCCGTAAAAACTAACCATGCCATATGTTGAGGCCACTCTCTCCTTCTGAGATGGGCCATATTCTGCCTGTGGCGTATGTTTCTCTCTAAAGAAATCCACCTCTTACCTTTAAAAAAAAAAATAATGGAGAAGGAAATGGCAACCCACTCCAGTATCCTTGCCTAGGAAAACCCATGGATGGAGGAGCTTGGCAGGCTATAGTCCATGGGTCGCAAAGAGTCGGACACAACTGAGTGACTGACACTACACTACCGAGCTAATTTACTTTAAAAAAAAAAAGAAAGCTCCCACCCTGAAACCACACACAGCATGGCCTTGATGCTGGGGGCTCAGGTGGACAAATCTGGGAGACAACAGTGTCTCAGGCTCCAAAATATCAGGCCCCAATCTGCTGCATGGAATGGCAGGAATGGTACTAAATCTCACTTCCCAACCTCAGGCAGCGGACTGAAATGTCCACAGGGCACAGGCAGATAAACATAAAAGGCGGATGCTCCAAGGCCACAAGGGGAAGTCAAGGACAAGCCAACTAAAAATTTAAATAAGATTCACTCTGCAGGCCAACAGGACCAGTTTGCACCCTCCATGGAGGTCAAGAGCAGCATTTCTTAACCTTGGCCAGATACTACTGACATTTGGGGCTGGATCATTCTTTGCTGTGAGGCGGTCTGTGCATCGTAGAATGTTCAGTGGCATTCCTCTACCGACTAGTTGCCATCATGCCCTTATCTCCTCCTGTGGTTAAAAACTAAAAACATCTCCAGACATTACAAATAGACTCTAGAAGGCAAAATCAAACCTCCACTGGGTTAAGAACCACTGGGCTAGAGTCCCAAGAAAGGCCAAGTTGTAGGGTACCATGCCAAGCAACTAGGAAAGTTCGCAGATTTAAACGGTTCGTTGTCAGGCATCAGCATTATTAACCATCTGCTCTAAAGAACTGTCACAGTATGTTCTGTGAATTTACACCGGGCTTCTCACAAAAGGTGTGGGGACAGGATGGAAGAGGCAGGGACTGACCGGTCATGTGTGGAGAAGAGGCTGCTGTAACGCGTGTCTTTGGCATATTTGATCACCAGGCACTTGTACTGGGCAATCTGGAAGCGACGGACCCGTCTCATCAGCTCGGTACTGCAAGGGAAGGCCCAAGCGTTGATGTGGGTGAGGAAGACCCCAACAGCTCAAGTTGGGCTCCCCACCGCCTTCTGGGGGTCTACAGCCTGAGTGCCACCCATGGAGGGGAAGGCCGCAGGGCAGGGTGTGGGGAAGACCTGGGAGGACAGAAAGGGCCCCAGCACAGAGTTTCAGTCCAGGCCCAGGAGGGAGGAGCATGTCTAGGCAGGAAGTCATTCTCTATGGGGAGGGTGTCAAGGAGGGGCCCTCAGGTGGGCCAGGGAGTGGCTGAAGGAGTGATTCTGTCAGGGGCACGGTGGGGTGGGCAGAGGCAAAGACCACATGCAGAGGAGAGGGGTCCACATTCCATTCCAAAATCATCTCACCCCACAGTTCTTCACCTAATCTGAACGAACAGGACTTTTTGGTGCAACAAGGAAAGCATCAAGTCTGTGTCCACGAGCCCACCCTGAGCCTCACCATCGTGCGCAAGGGCTTTGACCTGGAGGGATCTCCCCCAGGGCCATGTAGGAAGGGGTCACGGGAGTTACGGGAGCTCGCTGGCCCTACCTGGTCTGGGATTGGGTCTATCACTTCAAGGAAGTGAAGGCGCCAGTGGCTTGACTCTGCAGTGTGCAGAGTGACCACCTTCCTGGGCCATCTAAGGAAACAGTCACACTGGAAGGAAGCGACAGACACTGCAGGGCGCTCAGGGCCCGGCCACCGAGCACACGCCCTTCAGGTGGGGCTTTGGAGGGGCTAAACGATGACCAAACGATGACCAGCTCCCGGAAGGATGGGTGGTTGCATGGCCCCAAGCGGAGGAGGGTCTGACGGAAATGGGAGGAGCGCCTCCTCCGCGAGGGATTCCACGGAGGAGAGACATTCTGGGCGGGAAAGCGGGGGTCGGGCAGCCGGAGATATTCGGGGGGGGTGGTGCGGTGCTCTGAGAGGGGTCGCAGGTTCGGGGCGGGACGGACGGCGTCCCGGGGGGCTGGAGGAGGACCAAGGAAGCAGAGGAGGAGGTCCTGGGCCACCCCCGTCCCGCAAGGCCATTACCTTTTTCCTGAGAACATGGGTCCGAGAATCACCTAGGAGAAAAGGAGAGGTCACTTCGGGCCCCGGGGCGCACAGATACCCGGGGACCCAGCCCCCCTCAACCAGTCACGACTCCGACCCTGACCCCGACCCCGCCCCGGCGCCCGCACCTGGATCTGCCCCCGGGTCTTGCTGGGGGAGCCTGGCAGCACATTGGGCAGGTTGATGCAGCTCATGGCACCTTCAGGGAGCTGGCAAACCGAGCACTCTGCGCCGCCGCCGCCTTGCAGGCTCCCGCCGGTTCCCGCGCAGGGCACGTTATCCCAGGCGCGGGCCAATCGGGAGCCAGGGCCGCAGCCCCGGAACCAATCACCGCGCGGCCGTGGGACTGGAGGGCGATTTGGCCTCAGCCCGCCCCCTCGTAGGAGGGACCAGAAACGCGCGTACCAGGCTCTGTCCCGGGAGAGGTGGGCGTGGCTCCTCCGGGGCGGAGGCTGATTGGAGCCCCGCCCACCTTCTATAAAAAGGCGAGGGGGACGCGCGCGTGCGCGTCTGATGGTGCAAAGCGGGAATGGACGTCTTGGGCGGAAATCACAGGCACGAGGCTCCCTGGAAGAGGATGTCTAAAGAGGTAGGAGGATCACAGGGAGAGAGGCTGGGGCTGAGGAGTGTAGCTCAGACATTAGATGAGAGTTGAGAGAAAAGTTTAGAATCATTCCTGTGGAGGCTGTTGGTACTGTGTAACAGGTCCCCAAAACTTTAGCACTGTGATTTATTTTACTTCTCTCCACAGATAGGCTTTTGCTAGCCTGATTTTAAGGGTGGAATACGGAAGCCCTGGCTATGTTAATATTTATAAACCCAGAGGAGGTTGGGGCCGAAGTTCCTAACCTTAATCTGAGGTTATGCAATGTGCAGAGAATGTGCCAGACCTGAAGGAAGCAGAAAGGTTGGTTTTACTGCAGGATGGTCGTGAGGGTTAGAAACCCCATGTGTGGGGCACAGTTCTTGAGGCGCTAGCCTTCTGTGTTCCCCCTTTGCCTGGCAAAGAAATAAAGCCACTCTTTCTCTCTCCTCCGTTAAAAAAAAAAAAAAAAGAAACCACATATGCAAAGCACTCGTTCTGATTATCATTGAGTTATAATTTCCTGACTAGTTTTCCTACATTTGAAGCAGCAGTTCTTTCTCAGGTCATGGACACATCTAAGAATGTAATGAGTTATAGATACTGCCCCCAAGAAACTCCATCCTCTGTGTGTGCGCGTATGTCTCTCTCTCTCTTGTCTTTCTCTTTCTGACACAAACTCCTACAATATGAGAGCACTCTCAGAAACCCATTGCATTACCATTCTTATAGGTAAATAATAGAAATAAAGATGGCAACCCACTCCAGTACTCTTGTCTGGAAAATCCCATGGACAGAGGAGCCTGGTAGGCTACAGTCCTTGGGGTCTCGAAGAGTCGGACACAACTGAGCGACTTAACTTTCACTTCACTTTCCTGCATTGGAGAAGGAAATGGCAACCCACTCCAGTGTTCTTGCCTGGAGAATCCCAGGGACGGGGGAGCCTGGTGGGCTGCCGTCTATGAGGTCGCACAGAGTCGGACGCGACTGAAGCGACTTAGCAGCAGCAGCAGCAGCAGCAATAAAGACGATGCTAGCAGTCACAGAGTGTGCCAGGTATGGCTGCAAGCATCCTATGGGCACAGATGGTACAGATCCAAAGACCACTGGCCAAGAACCCTGTTCAGGGGGACGAGGAGGAAACCCGCGTCCGAATGGTTAGCTTTTCTTCGTGTACATGCCTTACAGCTTTCAGCCTCAGCAGGAGTACAGCCTAACCGTGCTGAAAGCTGTAGGACATGTACATGAAGCGAAGTGCTGTTGCTTTGCTCATTATACAGATGACGGAACTGACTGTAAGAAAGTTGCCCAGGTTAAAAGAGCCTGCAAGTGTTGGAGTTTGGATGGCGCTCAGCCCATCTGAGTACAGAGCCTAAGACCTTTCCATGAGACCACCCTGTCTTCAAATTTCCCAGGCCAGCCTTCGCCCATTTTTGTTTGTTTCATTTGTTTTGTGGTTGTTGTGTGTCTGAGCGCTTGCTCCAAAACCTGGTTCCTTATTACCTTCTGAAGTCTGAACATCTAGCTTGACATCCAAGACCCTCCACCCTCAGCCCCCCTTCCTCTGTGTTTCAGCAATTGAGGCTGGTCAACATTTCCAATCGTCTGACCTCTGATTCCTTCCTCTTCACCTCTGGGCCGCTGATTGTGCTGTGACCTTCGGTCAGATTTATGTCCTGTCAGGGAAGATCAGCTTCACATCATTTTCTCTGCAGCGACCACCCTAGCTCTCTGGCTTCCTGTGATCCTAGCTGCTGTAGAAGTGGTGCCTCTGGTGGCATTCACTGGGACACCTTTATGGGTCCTCATTTCCCTTTAAGGCTTCCGGCTGCTTAAAGGCTAGGCCGCTGCCCTCACTGCAGGTGCCTGACAGCACTTGCAATCTTGTTTCTGTTGCATCTGAAACATCTAGTTAATTAGTGGAGGGAGAGTGGGGCCTGGGTTGCCAGGCTGGAGGCTGGAGGAGCTTGAAGGAAGCTGAGGGCATCTTGAGAGATATCAGGGAAGGGGCTTCTCCAGGCAGAGAGGAGCATTCAGACACATGGAGGGGTGGGGGCAGGGTCTGCGTGGAGGTCAGAGGTCTTACAGAACATTGTATCTGTGTCTCACAGGAGCTGGATAACCAGTACTCCCCCAGCAGATGGGTCGTCCGACTGGGAGCAGAGGAGGCCATGAGGACCTATTCACAGATAGGAAGCGAAGGTGCTGGGGGACCTCTCTGTGGCCGCTTTGGGTGGACTTTAGCATGTGGCAGTGGTTCAAGATGCTCGGGTAGGGAGGAGGAGCCTCATAGCCCAGCCTCTCTGGACAGTTCCCAAAGTCCAGGCATCTCATCTGCTCCGGGAGCCCTGGCTGCAGGACTGCCAAGGGGAGGGAGTCTCAGAGACTGTGCTCCACATACCTGCCTGATCAGCCAGCCAGCTATGCCCAGGCCTTAAGGCTACAGTGGCCCAGGGGAGTAGAGTGAAAAAAGGAAGGTGTCCCACTCAGCTGCTGAAAGTGGAATGTTATTGCTATTTACCAAATCAAAGAAGCTTTTTTTTTTTTTTTTAAATGAAATCAAGGCTTGGGAATCTGTAAGCTAGTAAAGTCTCAAAGTTGATTCCCATCCCAGTCCTGGGTCTCCAGAGTATGTGCTGCCACCTTTTGAGCTGGGTCAGGCAGGCAGGTTCCACAGGGAATGTGTGGGTGAGGAAGCAGCCAGCCCCTCCTGCAAGTTGGAAAATTGGAGGTTGGCAAATGCACTTTGTTCTAGCAGGCCAGATGGAGCTCTACACTGAGATAACCCAGCTGGAGGGACAAGCTAGTAGGGGTTTATTCCAGCACATTTCAGCACCTTCCCTGTCCTCATAGAGCTGGAGCTGTGTCCTGGGCTCTTCAGAGTTTCCTACCATGCTTAGCTCTGCACCAAATGTCTCTGTAGACTCAGTATATATTTGAGTGTGCAGTGACGCCTACGTGAGCAGGTAGCAAACCTGTTTGTCTACTGTAATTGTCTTGAGGGAAAAAAGAGCTGACCCTGTAGAGAAGGGGAGTCTCTCGTAAGAAGCAAGGTCTAAGAAGAGACTCTGAGACTCCGAAGTAAGCCCTCAGAGAATGTGTTTAGCTCTGCCTCCGGAGAAGTCCTGTGGACAGCTTTACATTCACATCCCACCTCCCTTCCTGTTTGCGATGCTCCAGCGGCCGAGAGGTGCCGCCGGAGCATCTGCCCCATTTCACTGGTGAAGAAGGGGAGTGTGATGATGGGCCAGGTGAGTGAGCAGAGCCATGCATGCACAGGGTTGGAGCCTGTCTCTATTGGAAATGTTGACATTTTGTTCATCATCGACTTTTTTGGCATAAATTCTGATTTTAAAAAATACTGCATTTATATATTATCTGTCTTTGTATTGGTCAGCTCCGGTTGCATAACAAAATGCCATGGGCTGGGCGTCTTAAACAATAGGAATCTCTTTCTCCCAGTGCTGGAGGCTGAGAAGTCCAAGGTCAAGGTGCCAGCTGATTTGGTTCCCTGGTGAGGGTCTCTTCTTGGCTTGCAGATAGACCTCTTCCCCCTGCATCCTCACATGTCAGAAAAAAGAGAAAGAAATGCTCACCTTTCTTCTTATAAGGCCACTAATCCCACCACAAGGACTGCATCCTCATGACCTCAACTAAACCTAATTACCTCCCAAAGGCACCACCACATTGCTGTCGTTGTTAATCCCTAACTCTTTGCGACTCTTTGGACTGTAGCCCGCCAGGCTCTTCTATCCATGGGATTTCCCAGGTGAGAATACTGGAGTGGGTTGCCATGCCCTCCTCCAGGGGATCTTCCCAACCCAGGGATGGAACCCACATCTCCCACATTGCAGGCAGATTCTTTACCATCTGAGCCACCAGGGAAGCCCATCTGCTACCTTGCTGTTGCCGCTGCTGCTGCTAAGTCGCTTCAGTCGTGTCCGACTCTGTGCGACCCCATAGATGGCAGCCCACCAGGCTCCCCCATCCCTGGGATTCTCCAGGCAAGAACACCGGAGTGGGTTGCCATTTCCTTCTCCAAAGCATTAAACTGAAGAGTGAAAGTGAAGTCATGTCCTACTGTTTGTGACCCCATGGACTGCAGCCTACCAAGCTCCTCCGTCCATGGGATTTTACAGTCAAGAGCACTGGAGTGGGGTGCCATTGCCTTCTCTGCTACCTTAGTCCCTCCTAAATCCACCTAGTCATTAGGCTGGCCATCTGAGTTTGCAAATTGTCATTATCCAGAGGAAAACAAAAAATCCCCATAGCTTTATGACAAACAATGGCTTTGCAACTTGTAGCTGGATGGGTATTGAAATTAGGGTCCTGCCCTCCCGTGGATTATCTTGCTGATAATTACATTTCAGAGAGATAGCCCCCAAGGACTCCCTTGGAAGTCCGGTGATTAAGACTTCATCCTCCAATTCAGGGGGTGCATGTTTGATCCCTGGTCAGGGAGCCCACATGCCTCACAGTCAAAAAACAAAAACAGAAAACAGAAACAGTATTGTAAAAAATTCAGTAAAAAACTTTAAAAATGGTCCACATCAATAAAAACCCAAAGAGCTCCCAGGTCTTTGAGAAAAACATTCCTAAGTTGTAAAACTGGCAAGAGACTCATTTAGCTTTAAAAGATATTTACATGCATTCCCAAAGGAGTAGAGAAAGGATTTATGATGATGTCTCCTAAAAATAAATTCTCCTAGAAAAGGGAGGGAGGTAAACTCTTTTTTCCTTTTTTGCACCAGGAAGAAGGACATTGTTTTTCTTTTGATCTACTCCATCCTTCATCTCCACCAGTAACTTGCAGTGGGCACTGTTCTCTTCCAATGAGTAGGTCATGTTTATTCTCCCCCAAGACCTGGCTTCTCCCAGGCTAGGTGAACACGGGCAGAGGGAAGTTGGAAGAACTGTGTCCTCTACCAGTAGCTATTACATTTGTTTAATAAGACTCTCAGTAAAAATGTTTTTAGAAGCCGTGGCAACGGAAAGAGATTAGCGACACTGGGAGATGCAGAACAGCAGGGTTTATTCAGCCCCAGTGCGGGTTTAGGGGAATCGCCTCCAGGGTCTGAGCGCCCGGGCTTTGTTCCGGGTATCTTTTTTTGTTTGTTTGTTTGTTTATCTTTTGTTCTGGGTATCTTTTATATGGCGTGGGCTTCCGGGTCCTGGTAACTTTCCAGCCTACGCAGTTTGGTTGAAGCCGTAAGCAGGCCGGTTCACAGAAGCAGAGGTGGTGAGCATCAGTAAGCAGGCCACTTTACAGAAGTGGAGGCAGTGAGCATAGCAGTAAATTTCAGTTCAGTTTAGTTCAGTCGCTCAGTCGTGTCCGACTCTTTGCGACCCCACGGACTGCAGCATGCCAGGCCTCCCTGTCCATCACCAACTCCCGGAGTTTACTCAAACTCATGTCCATTGAGTCCGTGATGCCATCCAACCATCTCATCCTCTGTTGTCCCCTTCTTCTCCCGCCTTCAATCTTTCCCAGCATCAGGGTCTTTTCAGATGAGTTGCAGTAAACTTAAGCAACTATTTTAGTTTCTTCTTCTTTTTTTCCTCTTCAAAAATACATTGTACAAGAAACTAAATAAGGTGTGTGTGTAACCAGGCTGGGGGCACATTTCCAAACTTCCTGTCCCTCAAGCCACGCCTCGCCCTAGGAGAGCCAATCACCAGCGAGGTGGGTGGGGGCCTCGTGATTGACAGCTTCTGCGACTGACAGCCTTTCCGAGGGATCCTCCTACCTTTTAAGGCTGAGTTGGCCCTTTTTCCTTTCCACCAGATAAAACCAAAGGAAAAAGACAAAGGCACACAAAATACAGGCCCACTTTTGTTTAACTGTGATAGGATACACATAACTTAAAATATACCATTTTAACCATTTAATTTAATTTAATTTTTTTTTTCATTTTAACCATTTTACAGTGTACAAATCAGCAGCATTCAGTACCTTCACGATGTTGTACCGCCATCTCCTCTGTCTGGTTCCAAAACATTTTTCATCACCCTGAAAGGACACCTCCCTACCCATTAGGCAGGCTCCGGCTTCATTCCTATTTATGGACGAATAATTTTCCGTTGTGTGGATGGACCGCGTTTTGTTTATCCATTCATCCCGCTGTTGGACATTTGGTCTGTTTCCCCCTTTTGGCGATTGTGAAAAGCGCGGCTGTGAACATTCATGTACAAGTTGTTTGAAAGCCCAAATTTCTTAGCCCTAATTTCAATAGACACGGCCATTCTACCAAACTGCCTATATTATTTTTTTTTTAATTTTTTTATAATTTTATTTATTTCTGGTTGCACTGGATCTTCGTTGCTGCGCAAGGGCTTTCTCCAGTTGTGGTGCTCAGGCTTCTCACTGTTGCGGCTTCTCTTGTTGCAGAGCTCAGGCTCTGAAGTGAAGGCTCAATAGTTGTGGCACCCAGTCTTAGTTGCTCCGAGGCATGTGGAATCTTCCCGGATCAGGAATCGAACCTGTGTCCCCTGCATTGGCAGGCAGGTTCTTTTCCACTGTGCTACCAGGGAAGTCCAAACTGCCTATATTAATATATAAATGTTTACCTGCACATTTTACTTAGTTCGTCATGGACCAGTAGCAAACACTATGGGGCACCCAGTGTTCACAGACCACATTGTACTAGCCCTGCCCTGCGCTATCTGAAGCTGGCCATTTTTAGGCAACTGTTGTTTTCTGATTACAAAAGGAGCATTTGCTTAGTGAAAAGGATTTTGGCAAATAAAACCATCAATAATTCTGCCACCCATTGTTCACGTTGTAATGTGGTTTCTTCTAGCCTCTTTTTATTTTCTCCTGGAAGAAAGCCTTCTGTTTTAATAGTGTGCAATCCTGGTTTGTTGTGAGGTTTTTTAATTTTTTTTTTTTTTGGGTGAGCTGCTTGGCTTGCAGGATCTTAGTTACCTGATCAAGAATTGAACTCAGGGCCATGGCAGTGAAATCTCCCAAGTCCTAACCAGTGGACCACAAGGTAGCTCCCTGCAATCTCTCTTTTTTTTTTTTTTTGATAGTATGAACAGTGTTAAAAATTCTTTCTAGGAGAAGGAAATGGCAACCCACTCCAGTATTCTTGCCTGGAAAAGTCCATGGACAGAGGAGCCTGGCGGGCTGCAGTCCATGGGGTTACATGACTGAGCATGTGTGCATGAGGATGGAGGGAGGTGGGTTGGTAGCAATAAAG